ACACATGTCTTAGCTATACTCTCTGTGAATATTGAGTTTATTGACGCGCGATTAGTCAATATATTAGCAAATATATGGGTACCGTAATCTCCCGTACCGGCCTGAATATAGACACTCCCGCACTATTCATGCCTCGTGTGCATGCTGATGCGTGCGTGCATTTATGCGTGTGTTGTATTATATATAAATATATATTAGGAGTTAATAAAGAAAATTTGTCTTTATTAACTCCTGATATATATTTATATAGCTCCCTCTCCCTTCTCTCTCTCTCTCGCTCTCTCTCTCTCTCTCTCTCTCTCTCTCTCTCTCTCTCGCGCTCTCTGTCTCTCCGCCTATAATATTGCCTCGTCGGCTAGCCCACAATAATGGCTGTAGAGCGCTTGCGGGTGGTACATACCGGAATCAGTAGTATACATAGATAGTGTATGATGTCAGCGTAACCGCAATCTCCCCCAAGCACCGCCCGATCCCGCATATCCATCAATCACCAACCATCCGCTGCGATGCATATATCAAACTAAACAATAATAAACGAAGCCACCGCGAGTTGTGTGAGTATGCGTGTGTGCGTGCGTGTGTGTGTGTGCGTGCGTGCGTGCGTGCGTGCGTGCGTGCGTGTGTATGCAGCGGAGATGCACGCTACGAAATCACGTTGCTTATAGTTATATTATATATAGCATTATATATACCATTATATATTAGCATTATATTGTGGTTCGCTATCGTACTCAGAAATAATTATTTTTGATCGCGGTTAAATTATGATCCTTTTTACCCAATCAGGAGCCTCGTTACACATAGTTTAACTCTGGACAAATAATTTTTACCGCCGTTAAATTGCGTGTAACAAGGCCTCTGATTGAATATAAACGGCCATAATTTAACCGTGCTTATAACTTATTTCTACCGCCGTGAAAATAATTATTTCTGAGTACGATGGCCAACCATACTCGATGCGGCCTCCGCTGTGTCTCTACATATAGGGCCGTCATCTTTCCTCGCTCTCTCACCCTTTCGATCGATCCCACTGCTGCCGACACCCGCTATAGGTCATCAATAATTTGTAACGATTAATAATAGCAACATTGGCGTGACAAGAAGCAATATAATCGGAAGTTACAGCCGATAGTAATTAGCCGTTATAGGAATAGGGTTATTATTAGTTTCAGCGTATATATATATATAT